AATCATGAGAAGGATTCCAAGTGCTTTTACTGGCTTTGAGAGTTAGGGTCTCCTGTTCCGTGATCAGAGTGAGGCCTGTAGGAGCCAAGGGCAGTCTCAGCTGACACCAGCAAAGAAATGGGGACCTCAGACCTATAACCTCAAGGAACAGGATTCTGCCAACAACCTGAATGAACTTGCAGTGGATTCTTCTTGAGCATCCCAATAGGAACCCAGCCAACTAACACCTTGATTTTGACCTTGGGGGACCCAGAACGGAGAAACCAGTCAAGGAATCCACACGTCTGACCTATAGAACTGTGAGATAATAAATTTGTGTTGTCTTAATGCCGCTAAATTTATCAATAAATCCAGAGAACGCACTGGATTTAAGATTCCTCGATCCTGATGCTCTCAGTTGACATCTAAGCCTCTGTAAGAAGTCCCAGCCACAGTGTTATGTTTATTCTGCCAAATTCCTGGGGTGGGGTACGTGCAAGAAAGACCTACTGGCTCAGAAAGCCTGCTAATCATCGTTAGCCTTTCAAAGGCTTTTCCAGAGAATTGTTCTTTCACTTTTTATCTTTCATGCTACCATATTTTATTGAGTCTAAAACACCATAGATTATCAAGAAGGGGAAGAAATTTGCAAATAAAAAGACCTATTAAATTTATTTAGACAGATTTTTTTATCCTATATCACCTATGGGCCCATGAAACTATATATGCAAAGAAAATTCGTTGGTTAGCGTGTTCCTTAAATTTATTCAGAATCCTATTTTTCTGAATCACATTTCAATTCAAAGTCATCAAATTTTATGTTTTGCGAGACTATTGTCTTCTAGACCAGGGTTGGCAAACTTTTTCTGCAAAGGGCCTCATAGGAAATAATTGAGGCTTTGCAGGCCATGTGCTCTTTCTTGCACCTTCTCAACTCTGCTGCTGTAACGCAGAAGCAGCCACAGACAGTACTAAATGAACGGACATGGGTGTGTTCCAAAAAATCTTTGTTCATGAACACAGAAATTTGAATTTCATATAATTTTCGTATGTCATGAAATACTATTCTTCTTTTGATTTCTTTCAACTATTAAAAAGTATAAAACCCAATCGTATTCACAGGCTATACAAAAACACACGGTGGGCTAGATTTGGTCTTTGGGCCACCAGTTTGCCAACCTCTGATCTACGCCATTGTGAACACTGGTAATGCAGTATATCTTTCTTTTCTTTTTTCTTTTTTTGAAAATTATTTTATTGAGATCACATTGGTTTATAACATTGTGTGAATTTCAGGTGTGCGTTATTATGTTTCAGCTTCTGTAAGACTTCATCGTGTTCACCACTAAAAGTCTAGTTTCCATCCATCACCATACATACATATGTCCTCCTTTACCCCTTACCTCCTTCCCCTCTGGTAACCACCAATCTGTTCTCCTTATCTATATGTTTGTTTGTTTATCTTCCACAAATGGTGACATCATAAGGCATTTGTCTTTCTCTGTCTGACTTATTTTGCTTGGCGTAATACCCTCAAGTTCCACTCATGTTGTTGCATATAGGATGATTTTGTCTTTGAAAATTATATACTCTGGTCTCTGGGACTGTCTTTGAAGCATCCATTTTGTAAATTTGGATGCTGGAGAATATTCATCAGGATAGGCCGGGTTATGCTGCATTAACAAACAACTCCAAAATCTCAGTGGCTTAAAATGACAAAGCTTCATTTCTCACTCATGCAAAGTCCCCTGGAGGTCAGGGCTACTTTCCAGGGCAGCCGTCCCCCACGCAATGACTACGCCTTACACCTCCTGGTGAACACAGGCCTCCTCAATATTGGCAGAGGACAAGAATGTGGAAAATCACGCACCAGCTCTTAGAGGATTTCCTCCAGAAGTTATGTGTCTCACTTTTCATTCATGGTCTTCTCTGTATCCTCATGTGGTGGAAGGGGCCAGGGATCTCTCTGGAGCCTCTTTTATAAGGCACCAATTCCACTCACGAGGGCTCCACCCTTATGGCTTACCCACCTCCCATGGGCCCCCCCTACTAATATCGTCACATGAGTCATTAGGAGTTCAACATATGAATTTTAGGAGGGACACGAATATTCAGACCATAGCTCTAGGTCATAAAAAGGATGCCTTCACCTGGTGCACTCTCTCTTTCTCATTTGGATAGCTCACTCTGGTGAAGGCTAGCCACCATGTCACAAGGACACTCAAGCAGACCTTTGAGAGGTGCATGTGTGGTGAAGTCGATGTGGAGAGGAACTAATTCACCAGCACGAACTTGCCACCAGTGAGTCATCCTCCAGCCTCAATCAAGCCCTCGGATGATTCCAGCCCTGTAGGACTAAAGTCTTCCAGCCGAGGCCCCAGACGTCACAGGGCTGTGACCCATAGAAACTGTGAGATAATAAAGGATTATTGCTGTTCTAAGCCACTAAGTTTTGGGGAGTGATTTCTTATGCAATAATAGAAAACCAATACACATGGCTTCACCTAATCTCAAGGGGATGGGGAAATTCAAGTGTTCCATTGGCCCAAACATGGGAGAAACTAGTTATTGGCAAACATCTTGATCTTATCAGAAGGTATCGATGAGGAGTTTTCAGACAAAAACCGGGACTCAGATTCTTTCCTCCGATGGTTCATAGATGGTTATTGTCTGAAACATCAGGGGATTGCTCTTGTCCCAAGATGCCACCAGGAATAATATCCAAGTTCATAGATGTGTAGACAATGGATACAAAATTTTTAAATGCCATTGTTGAAACGCACATCTAGATTTCAGCAATATTAAAATGCAAAAATAATAAGCATCTTGGAATTAATGGAAATGGCATATCACTGCTTTTTCTGTCACACGCTCTCTTATTTCTGCCTGCCTTGTGGTTATTTGCCTTTAACTGGTAGATCCAAGTGGCTGGTTTGGAGATAAAATGGGAACATGGGTAGAAAGTCCCCATATCCAAAGCAAAGCAAATTGTCTAGTCCATTCAGGCTGCTGTTAAAAAAAATACGATAGACAAGGTGGCTTAAACAACAAGCATTTATTCCTCACAGTCTGGAGGCTGGGAAGTCCGAGATCAAGGCACGGCAGATTTGGTGTCTGGTGAAAGACTTCTTCCTGCTTTGTAGGTGGCTGTCTTCTCACTGTGTCCTTGCATGGCCGAAGGGCCAAGAGAGTTCTCTGAGGTCTCTTTTCTAAGGGCGCTAATCCCACTTATGAGGGCTCTGTCCTCATGACCTAATCACCTCCTAAAGGCCCCACCTCCAAATACCATCTGTTGGCTATGAGGTTCCAACATATGAATTTTAGGCAGACACAAACATTCAGTCTGTGACACAAATGATTGAGTGATTTCTCTGAATTAGAAAAAAAAATTGGGGAGTTGGCCCTGGGACGTAGAGGTTAAGTTCATGCACTCTGCTTTGGCAGCCCTGGGGTTCATGGGTTCAGATCCCAGGCACAGATCTACACACTGCTCATCAAGCCATGCAATGGTAGCAGTGTCCCACATACAAAATAGAGGAAGATTGGCATAGATGTTAGCTCATGGGCAATCTTCCTCACACACACACACAAAATTTGCAATGCAACATAAACTATAGGTATAATGATTACAAGGTCAATCTAACCCCAACTGGTTGAAATACACCAGATTCAATTAGCCAAGAAAGTCCTATAACTGTTCATGTATATAGAGAGAAATGTAAATTTCTCTATACACACACCCCCACACACATAGTATATATAGTATCCTTAGCCTTAGGTAACATGTGTACCTATGTGTCATAGCTAGAAATGAAATTTCCTTTAAAATTAGCCTTTAACAAATTCTTAGTAATGAATACTGGCCTTGTTTGTAGTTAACTGGCAATCCTGTATTGAAATAGGACATGATAGGATGGAAGCAGACAACTTGATTTCTTCCCCAGGACCAATTCAAATCCCACTTGTGGATTCAACCTTCACTTCCTCCTAGATGAAATCTTGGGTGAACTCTTGGATCCCGTGCTTTTCTTTATCACTCTTTTCTTTTAATTTTGGTAAAAACGCATAACATAAAATTCACCATCTTCCTCATTTTTAACTGTACAGCTCAGGAGTGTTAAGTATATTCACATTGTTGTGAAACAGATCCCCAGAATTTTTCATCTGAAAAAAAGTTATCTGAAACTCTATACCCGTCAAACAACGCCCATTTCCCCCTTCCTCCAGCCTCTGGTAAGCACCATTCTATTTTCTGCTTCTACGAATTTGACTGCTTTATACACTTCATATAGCATTCATATATATCAGGAATCAGATAGCATTTGTCTATTTGTGACTGGCTTATTTCACTTAACATAATGTCCTCAAGCTTCTTTCATATTATAGCATATGGCAGAATTTCTTTCCTTTGAACGCCGAATAATATTCCATTGTATGTATATACCACATTTTGTCTATTGACTAGTCACCAATTGAGGGACATTGGGGTTGCTTTTAGCTATTGTGAACAATGCTGCTGTGAACATGGGTGTGCAGATAATCTCTTCTAGACCCTGCTTTCAATTCTTTTGGATATATACCCAGAAGTGGGATTGCTGAATCATTTGGTAGTTCTGTTTTTAATTTTTTGAGGAACTTTCATACTGTTTTATAGTGGTTGCACAATTTTACAAGCACACCAAGAGTGCACAAGGATTCCAATTTCTCTACATCCTCATCAACTTTTTGTGTTATTTTCTGGGGGTTTTCTTGACAATAGTGATCCAAATGGGTGTAAGGTGTTATCTCATCACATTTTTGATTTGCGGTTTGTCTAGTCCCTCTTAAATAATAAAAAGTCCTTTGGTCATTTTCAGGGCCAAAGAACAATCTCATTTAGGAAATATGAGAGGCAGAATAACTCCCTCCCTCCAAAAGATGCCCTTACCCCTGGAACCTGTAGATATCTTTTGCTATATTACAAAGGGTAGTTAAAGTTGCAGACAGAAATAAGGTTTCTAATCAGCTTCCTCCACTCCCAGGTTGCCTGTGACTCCTCCAGGGATAGAAAAGACGGAGGCTAGGAGGAGAGGTAAGCAGCGGGAGAGACCATCCTTACCGAAGGCAGATATAGTATGATGTTTGTAACTTCTGGGTGGGGCAGATTCCCAATGATGATTCCTTCTCTTCCTCAGCACTTTGTGGGATCCTCAATCAAAGTGATCCCCTCTGCGCCCTTGGGCAATTCTTGTCTGTGGCCAGCTGCTTCTCACCTCATCTTCATCCTCCACAGCAAATAGTAGCTTACAGCCTCTTGCTGCTGAGGGCCCTTCTCCTTTGGCACAAAGCCTTTTTGGACAGGTCTTTTCCAACAACTCCAAGGCCAGATCCTTCCCACAAGTCCTCTCGGCTCACAAGAACACTCTGGCATCCTTTCCCCAGCCCCACCAGCGGCAGATGTGCAGTTTTCTCTCCAGTGCATATACCATACAGTCAGCCTTCCATATCCATGGGTTCCACATCTGTGGATTCAACCAACGTGGATGGAATGGCCTGCAGTGGTTGTGTCTGTACCGAACATGTACAGACTGTTTTTCTTGTCACTATTCCCTAAACAGTGTAACAACTATTTACATAGCATTTACATTGTATTAGGTATTATAAGTAATCTAGAGATTATTTGAAGTATATGGGAGGATACGCACAGGTTATATGCAAATACTACACCATTTTATATAAGCGACTTGAGCATCCTCAGATTTGGTACCCATGGGATCCTGGAACCAATCCCCATGGATACTGAGGGACGACCGTAGAGCTCTTTGCTTGGCCACCAGGCAGGCAATTCTAACTGCAGACTTTGATCTTTTCAGAGAAAAAAATAAAATGCTTGAGGTTCATTAATGTGGCTGATTTTACAGTCTTCAACTTCTTCGAAACAAAGGTCTGCATTCATTCAACATTTTCTTAGGATGAGCATTAGGAACTACTTTTCTGTTCTGCTTTTAGAGATTTTGCTGAAGTTCATTTCTAGTTAGCTGATATGTATTTATGTAGCATATAAGCCAGAAATTGTCTCATGTAGTGATAATATGGTTGCAGTTACAGTAAATAAAGTTTCCATAAGAACTTGGGAATTTTGAGATAATAAACATTTTTTCCTTAACTAATTTATTTTCATAGAGCTATTTGTAAAGTATGTCTTCTCTGAACATTTCCCCCAAACCTCTACCCATTCTGACTTTAAATTCATTATCATTGCACATTTCTATAGGGAAAAGGACAGTCTACAAGTTCTCTTAATTAATCACGGGTAACTTTAACGACCACTTCCGCTGTCCCCATCCTTTCCCCATCTTGCCCAAGCGTAAGGTTCTCTAGGGCTTGCAAAGAATTTTTGCATCATGAGAAAGATTATTGCTGATGCCATTCATGACATAAGCTATCATTCTAAATACCAACTTAACTTTCCAATCCAAGATCAGGATATCAAAACCAAAATTCTCTTACAAATGAGAAATTCTCAATAATTTGCCCTTAGTAGGTCATCTCTTCGGGAAAACACAAGAGACTGATAACAATTGTTGACTCTTAGATGAGAACTGGGGACCTGGGGAAATGGGGAGGAGAAAGACTTACTTTTCACTAAATATCATTTTGAACCTTTTGAATTTTATACTATATATTCTCAATTCAAAAAACATTTTATTTTAAAAATAATAATTTGCATTTGAAAGTAAAAAACTACCATTCTAACACTCAATGTTACAAGTAAAAGTTACCTTTTGAAATCAGAAAATAGAGTTTTCAAAGTCTTAAGGACAAATTGAATTGTGTCTATAAAAGATCTAAGATTTATAATTGAGTTGTTTGGTAAATTTTTTGAGTTTTTCTTCTACTCTCTGCTCTCAGATTGCTCAAGATTGCAACAAAAACAAAGAGAAAGCTTGGTTTTTGTGGGAAGGGAGGTCATGGAAAGGCATGTCTTACTGACAATTAATCCATTTCATCATTTGTCAAGTGCTTGCCATCTGTCATGCAATGTGTTGGATGCCAGGAGACACCCAGGGGCCTGCCTGGGAGGGAGACTTGCACATTGGAAAAGAGAAGGTGGTGCTCTGAATTCTCAGAGTTGGGGTTGGAGGAAGAGGGAAGGCTTAGACTCAACACCTAGAGAGGAGGCAAGAAGGACTTGAGCCAAAATGGAGTCTAGACACGATATGGAAGCCACTAGAATCTGAAAACAAGGGGATGAGGTGGGGCCTAAGGATGGGACAGTGTATTCAAAGCAATGGGTGAAAAAGAAGCTTTTTTCCACAAGCCAAGTGTCCACACCCGAAGCAAAGTAGAGAACTGAGGTCTGAATTTCCCAGGCAATTGGCCCAGCTCTTAACGGTGATGAAATGATTACCTTGGGCCAAGTTATGTGTATAGATGGTCCCTAACTCACAATGGTTCAACTTATGATTTTTCAATTTTGTGATGGTGGGAAAGTGATATGCATTCCATAGAAAGCATATTTCAAATTTTGGATTTTGCTGCTTTCCCAGGACAGCAAATGCAGTATGACACTCTCTCAGGATGCTGGACAGCAGCAGCGAGCCGCAGCTCCAGGTCAGCCTCACGATCACGTGGGTAAATGGCCGATACACTTACAACCATGCTGGACCCATCCAACCATGCTGTTCTTCACTTTCAGTATAGTATTCAACCAATTCCAGGAGATATTCAACATTTTATTATAAAACAGGCTTTGTGTTAGTTGATTTTGCCCAATTGGAGGCTAATGTAAGTGTTCTGAGTGCATTTAAGGTAGGCTAGGCTAAGCTGTGACGTTTGGCAGATTAGGTGTATTAAATGCATTTTTGACTTATGATATTTTCAACTTATGATGGGTTTATCAGGATGTAACCCCATCGTAAGCCAAGGATGATCTGTATGGCAAATGTCAAAGGAAAGGTCCTGATCTCCTAAGGTTCTGTAAGGCCTTTCTAAGTCTCAGCTTTTCTCATTTGTAGACCAGAATAATAATATCTATGTTATAAAATCGTTGTGGGGATTTCCATAGTGTCAGGAGCATAATAGTTGCTCAATACATGGTATCTATTGCCTTTCTTGTTGTTGTTATTATTACCTGTAAATAAAAGTAAATATCATAATGATGGTTCCCATAGATTGGCTCATTCAAGCCTCATTTTACCCTCCTTTTGGAGTAACTTCCTGTATTGCCAAGTCTATGAAACTAGGAACTACATTTTCCAGACTCCTTTGCTCTTAGGGTCTAGTTGCCAGTTAGGGTCTACCAGTTGGAGGCAATCACATGAGATTTGGAAGATGGAAGAAGGTGGAAGCCATCTTCCTGTTGCTGTTTCTTTTGCAAACAACGTCACAAAGACATGAATGGCATGAGGCAGCAGGGACTGTGGTGCAAGTAGCTGCTTGACCTTCAGATCACAGCTGCAGTGGTTTGCCCTTGACATCAATCAGTCGGGGCCCCCAATTTCAGCTTCTTCAGCCCTTCCAGTGACTTTGTAAGCATCTAATTCCTGTATGAAATTCTTTCTGTTTAAAATAGCTAGGGTGATGATTCCTGTTTCTAGAACTAAATCCTGACTGATTCAGGAATGGACATTTCATCTAAAGAAATATCATATGTAAACTTCTGTGAAAGAATTTATTTTGGGGCCCGCCCCAGTGGCCTAGTGGTTAAGTTGGGCATGCTCTGCTTCAGTGGCCCAGGTTTAGTTCCTGGGTACGGACCTGCACCATTCTATTGGTAGCCATGCAGTGCTGGTGGCCCATATACTAAAAAGCAGAGGACTGGCATGGATGTTAGCTCAGGAGAATCTTCCTCAGCAAAAAAAAAAAGACTTTATTTCTAACTGCTGCCTCAAACTTGCTTAAATTTAAATTATGAGTTAATTGACATGTTTAAGCCAGTTCAGTGTTCTCCTTATTGATGCCATTTTTTTTGAGATCTGTTAACGTAACACAAAGTTTTCTGGGATTCTGAACTGTTAACTCTGTATTTGTATATCATATTGAAGGCAGAGTATGTTTTTGTGATGATCATAACTTATCTATTGTCTTTCTTTACACTGTACTTGGTTGAGAGGAAAATGGTCGCTGAAACAATTTTGCCTCGCATTATCCATTCTTCCTTCCTTTCTTAGTATCAAAGACCTCAATTTTTAGCTGGAGATACTGCTAACCAGCTAAAGTTTATTCCCACTCTCCCTTAAAGCTAGATATGGCCATATGGTTAAAGTTTGGCCAGTTAGATGTAAGAAAAAATGTTTAGTGTAACTTCTAGAAAGTATATTTAGAAGGTGGGTTCAGAGTCTTCTTTGCCTTCCTCCTTCCTGTTGGTTGGAGTGTGAATGTGATGACAGGAGCACCAACAGCCATCTTGGGTCATGAGGTGGTACATTAATCATGGCAGAGTAGAAGAGAATGAGCCTGTTGCCTGCAGAGCTGCCACATAGGCCTGGATTTTGTAACTCCAGATTTCTTTCACATAAGAAAAAAAAAATCAGTCTCTAACTTTTTAAAGTCACTGTTATTTTATTGCTGTTTTGTTATTATATGTAGCTAAACCTACCCCTAATTAATATAAGGGGAATAGCCAAACTTCAGTCCCTATCAACCATGGACTATTTCTCAGTTTCTAAAAACAAGTGCATTCTCAAAAGATGCCCAACTACTGAAACACAGTAAAGCATGCTGCCAAAAATGCTGATCCGGGCTTAGGTACAAAGGCATAAAATGATTTCACTGAGGCCAGTCCAGCATACGCAACAGCCAAGTTTGTAAGCCGGATGAATAACTTTGATTCACTCATATCACTTTCAAAATCAAATCAAGACTCCCATTTTAGCTTGAGTAAAAGGCAAGTCCTCAACCCTAGCTGATGGTTCATTAGGGCTAGAGTTATAGATTCAAAATGGCTGGGTTTTTGTTTAAACTGGACCTCTGCTGTTGGTCACGTGACCACACCACAGCCGACAGCACACCCAATGGTATAACCTGCTTTGCAGCTCTCTGTTCCAGAGCCCATAGATCAGAGGGTTAAAACACTGGGCAAAGGCAAAGACTCCAAAGAGCACCAGATTTAAAGCAAAGAAAAACACTCCGCACATCTTTCCCAAACCTATGAATAACAGGGTTGGTATTACGTGCAAGCTCAACTGCACTAAGTGAATGAGGACTGTTCTCCTGGCTTTGATATTTGACCTGTTAAAATGGCCAGCCCGTTTCCCTTCTTGGTATATCAGAGAGTAACTTATAAGAATGACAGAAAGAGGAAGGAAAAGGAAAGCCATGCCAATGGCTCTGGCAGGAGTGCCGTTCAAGACCACTGGGCAAAGGGGTTCAGATTCAAAAATAGCAGCCTGAGTGGAGTGACTGCTCTCTATGAGGAATAAGCAAATATTCTTGAGTATAATGATCATCCAAGTCCCAGCCAGAATCCTATACTTGACTGAATCTACAAAGGACAGAGATTTCAATGGCCAGCAAATGGCCAGGTAAGTATTGAAAGCCATGAAGGCCAGAGTGAAGAGGATTCCTTCTCCAACACTTAGCTGGGCCCCAAACACCACCCAGCACATCAATACGGGGCTGCTGACCAGCAAAGCCCGCATCCCTTGGAAAACCACCCCCAGACCGCAATAGGAGGAGATACACAGCAGATGGTGGCAAAGGAGGATGTATCGGACCTCGTTCCTCAGTTTCGAATTCTGTGTCACTATGGCAATAATGACGACAGTGATGAAAGTGGCAAAGGAGAAAGAAACCACGTACAAAGAGGCCTTCACTGTGGCTTCTAGCCTCAGCCAATCCGATATGTTGCAAAGCTCAGAAGACAAGTTCATGATCTTCAGGGCAACTTGGCTCCTGCAGGATTAAAGAACAAGAAAGAGTGAATCTGCATTAAAGCTTCTTTTTTTTAAAAAAAAAACAAAACTATAGATAAGCCTTTATTTATTTATTTATTTACTTTTGAGGAAGATTAGCCCTGAGCTAACATCTACCTCCAATCCTCCTCTTTTTGCTGAGGAAGACTGGCCCTGGGCTAAAGTCCCTACCCACCTTCCTCTGCTTTTTTTATATGTGGGATGCCTGCCACAACATGGCTTGACAAGCAGTGCATAAGTCCGCACCCAGAATCCAAACCGGTGAACCCTGGGCCACCAAAGTGGGACGTATGAACTTAACCACTATGCAACCGGGCTGGACCCCCCTTTTTTTTTTTGAGGAAGATTAGCCCTGAGCTAACATCTGCTGCCAATCCTCCTCTTTTTGCTGAGGAAGACTGGCCCTGAGCTAACATCCGTGCCCATCTTCCTCTACTTTCTATGTGGGACGCCTGCCACAGCATGGTTTGCTAAGCGCTGCCATGTCCGCACCCAGGATCCGAACCAGTGAACCCTCGGCCGCGGAATGTTAAAGCTTCTTGGGTGGTCTTCCAGCTCTCTGATCTTGCACACAGCCTCAAGGGGCAGATTGCATGTTTTTTGGTACAGAGGATGACAATTTTAGATAGGATTGACATGGATGAAAGGAACTGGAGAAGTCATCTGGGGTCTTCTGTTTATTTCAGAGGACGGGCATATACTCAAATCATCTGAAAGGAGGGTTTGAAAGATGTGCCCTCCGTACTTAGCAAATTGCTCAAAATCAGGTCGCAGTTGTACTCCTTACGCATCCTTTTCCATCTTTGGTTGTGAGAACTTTTTCGATTCAGAGCACAAAGCACAACATTGTAAAAGTCAACTGATTAACCACCAAACACTTAGTTCATGCAAAGGTCTGGGGAAGAAGTTAGGGCAGGAGCTGTGAGGAATGAGAAGAAGTTGCTGCCAAGACTGGAATTCATTTGGGTCCACAAGACATGAAAGGGAGATTAACAATAATGACGACAATCCTGGGTGATATTTACTGAGTACTTTCTAGGGATCAAAAGCTCTTAGAGCATATTCCTCACTAACCCTGGGGCACGTTTTATTTTCCACCAAATGGTTTTATTATGCACATTTCACAAATGGGGAAACTGAGACTTGGAGATGCTGTGTAACCTGCTCAAGGCCTTGTGGTTACTGCATAGTAGGGCCAGGGTTTGAATTTGGGAGGACAATTCCAGAGCCCATCCTCTCAACCACTACAAGTAAGTTTGTGTCAAGTGCAAGGCCAAATGAATGCATTCTCTGAGTTCTTCTTTGGCCAACGTCATTTGACTAGCCAACTGGACCCCATTTGTAGGAATATCGTTTCTCTTGTTAGGAAGCTGGAAGACTGCACATTCAGGAAGGTTCTGAGATCTCAGGATTCCTCAGGGAATGTGCCCACTGAAATGGTAAGTCATGCTCAGTAGCTTCATCACATCTTCTCAAGTGTGCACAGCAGTGAATGGCGGCCTGGGGAACCCCCATATTACAGCATGACTTTTGTCTCTGTGAAAGCCTGCTGTAGAGATACCAACTGTTGCCTCCCCATCTACACCCCATCCAAGGTGATCAACCCCACAGTAGCCTTGCTGCCTCGCTTCCACATGACCTATAGCATCACCACCTCCCTGATCAAAGTTCATTGCACTGGGAGTAAACCTGATCCACGGAAAATCATCCTGTAGACTGCGGTGAGTCCATCAGTCTATCTCTTAAAAATCAGACCCGAGGAATTCCAAGATGGCGCCGTGAGTAGTCCTCTTTGTCTCTCGCCCTTCGAGTCTACAATTATTTGGACACTTATCGCTTGACAAAGGATATCCAGACAGCATCTCAGGACGTCTGAGACACCCACGCGACTATACATCGGAAGGCGGACGGACTTTCCTCCGGGAGGATGTGGAAATAGGTGAAAACTCTCCGACCCCGACGGGCAGCCTAGTACCCGCAAGCGGCTTTCTTCCAACGGACGCCCCCAGAGGATCCACACACATCTAGGGCAGGAGCGAGAACACAACAGAGGAGCGACGGTGGAAACAGGTGACCAGAACCCTACTTAAACCCCCCGCAATTGCTCCTAAATGCAGAGGGAAACTTTGGAGTTGCACACCTGAGCCCGCGGGGAGAGTCTCTCCCCGCCATTGGCGGGGAGACCCGGCCTGGTGCTCGGGGCGCCCGGAGGGTCCCAGAGAGAGACACGGAGGGCACGGAGGTCTCCCAGCTGCCGTTGCCCGCCCCGTGGGACTAGGGATTGCCGGAGATCTCGGAGAGGACCGGGGCGGGGGAACTTTCAAAGGCGGGATCCGGCGACCCGGTGGGGAAGCGCCGGAGCTCCCCCAGGCAGCAGACAAAACTCTCTGTCTGCCGGTAGCAGAGGGGCCACGCTGAGCACTCAGGGCTCCCGGCAGAGGCTCGGACAGAAGCCCAGAGGGCGGGGCGTCCCCCAGCTGCCGTTGCCAGCCCCGTGGGACTAGGGATTGCCGGAGATCTCGGAGAGGACCGGGGCGGGGGAACTTTCAAAGGCGGGTCCGGCGACCCGGAGGGGAAGCGCCGGAGCTCCGCCAGGCAGCAGACAAAACTCTCTGTCTGCCGGTAGCAGAGGGGCCACGCTGAGCATTCAGAGCTCCCGGCAGAGGCCCGGAGAGAAGCCCAGAGGGCGGGGCGACCCCCAGCTGCCGTTGCCCACCCGGTGAGGCTAGGGATTGCCGGAGATCTCGGAGAGGACTGGGGCTGGAGAGAGTTCCAGAGACCCAGCTTAGTAGCCTAGGGGGAAACCCTACAGGCTCACAGAAGCCTTAGGGAAAGCCTCTGCACAGCACCAGTAGAAGGCACCCAGCCGCCAGCCACAAGGCTGGAAGACCCCAGGGCAAAAGCAGCATAGCTAGGTGTACTAACCACAGACTGTAGAAGATGCCAATAGCTCTCCTGCGACCCATAGAGGACAAGTGAGATTTGGTGGGTGCCGACAGCAACCGAGCGAGAAATAAAAGTGATCCCACCCCTGGCCGCTGGAAAAGCCCATAACACCGTTGCAGACCCCAAGGAGAGAGCACATCTAGGTGGGCAACAACAGTAGGCACCTGCAGCCTGAAGCCCCCCGTGACGGCCCCCACGGCAGAGGAGGGAATCCAAAGGGCCACTGTGGCTACGAAGAGGGGCCCAGGCCCCAGTTAGCAACTACGGACAGGGTTCCTGGTTGGTGAAGTATAAACAGCTGCTCCCCCCACTGCAGCAGCTGAAACAAGTGAAAGGAGCAACTAAACTCTATCTCCATGCGGAGGCACAAATCAACATCATCAAGCAATATGAAAAAATACATTAAATCTCCAGAACAGAAAGAAAGTAACAAATACACAGAAAACAATCCCAAAGAAAATGAGATATATAACCTAAATGATGATGACTTCAAAACAGCCATCATTAAAATACTCACTGAGTTAAGAGAGAATTCTGACCGACAACTCAACGAGTTCAGGAGCTATGTCACAAAAGAGTTTGATACGATAAAGAAGAACCAAACAGAAATACTGGAAATGAAGAACACAATAGAGGAGATTAAGAAAAATCTAGATGCTCTGAACAGTAGGGCCGATAATATGGAGGAAAGAATTAGCAATTTGGAAGATGGCGATATAGAATTGTTGCAGGCAGAGGAGGAGAGAGAAGCAAGACTTAAAAGAAATGAAGAAACTCTCCGAGAATTATCAGACACAATTAGGAGATGCAACGTAAGGATTATAGGTATACCAGAGGGAGAAGAGAAGGAGAAAGGGGCAGAAAACCTATTCAAAGAAATAATGGCTGAGAACTTCCCAAATCTGGTGAGGGAGATGGATCTTCAGGTGACAGAAGCCAATAGATCTCCAAACTTTATCAATGCAAGAAGACCAACTCCACGGCATATAGTAGTGAAGCTAGCAAAAGTCAACGACAAGGAGAAAATATTAAGGACAGCCAGGCAAAAGAAACTAACCTACAAAGGAACCCCCATCAGGCTATCAGCAGATTTCTCAGCAGAAACTTTACAGGCTAGAAGAGAGTGGAATGATATATTCAAAAATCTGAAGGACAAAAACCTACAGCCGAGAATTCTCTACCCAGCGAAAATATCCTTCAAATACGATGGAGAAATAAAAACTTTCCCAGATAAACAAAAATTAAGGGAGTTCATTGCCACAAAACCTCCTCTTCAGGAAATCCTCAGGAAAACCCTCATTCCTGAAAAATCCAAAAAAGGAAAGGGGCTACAAAACCAAGAGCAGAGGAGATAAGTAGAAGGACAACAACAGAGAGTAGCAGCTCTACATCAGAACAGATTAAACCATGGGACGAGAAACAAAGGAAACTGAAGAAAACCGGAAAACAAGACACAAAATGGTAGTGGTAGGCCCCCACGTCTCAATAATCACTCTAAATGTAAACGGATTGAACTCCCCAATCAAAAGACACAGAGTGGCAGGATGGATCAAAGAACAAGATCCAACAATATGCTGCCTCCAGGAAACACACCTCAGCCCCAAAGACAAACACAGACTCAGAGTGAAGGGATGGAGAACAATACTCCAAGCTAATAATGAACAAAAGAAAGCAGGTGTCGCTATACTAATATCAGACAAGGTAGATTTCAAAGCAAAACAGATAAAGAAAGACAAAGAGGGACAGTATATAATGATAAAAGGGACTCTCCACCAAGAAGACATAACACTTATAAATATATACGCACCCAACACAGGAGCACCAAAATTTGTAAAGCAACTCTTAATAGAACTAAAAGAAGACATCAACAACAATACAATAATAGTAGGGGACCTCAACACACCATTAACACCAATGGACAGAACATCCAGACAGAAAATCAACAAGGAAATAATAGAATTAAATGAAAAATTAGACCAGATGGACTTAATAGATATATATAGAACACTTCATCCAAAAACAGCAGGTTACACA